TCCTCCCTGGTTGATCAGTTTGTCTTCCGCCCTGGTAAGAAATTTGGAGAGGAAGAAGGCACTGACCGTTGTCAGATTCTCAAGCGTGATGCTCAAACTCTGTTCAGACTCTCCTTCGCCTTGACTTTCTCTTTTCACCACCAACTTTTTTCCACTATAGGGTCTCTTTAGTTTATTTGCCCATGTGTTGGGGGGGTGTGTTTGAAGAAGAGGCTGTCGATTGAGTCCCTTCCAACTTCTCTTTCGTCTCCTTCATCTGTTGTTGTTGTTGGGTCAGGTTTTGTGTTGTCTCCTTCTCTTTCCCTTTTTCCTTGTCTCCTTGTTGTCCGTGCGTGTTTTTGGGGGGGGAAGATGGGGATGAGGAGGGGTTTCTTACTTCTATCGCTGACGTGTGATCGGGGCGTCGTCCCATCCCTGGGTAATGTCTCACCGCCCCATGATAGAGAATAGTCGTTTTCCCAGGTTTCCTTTTCTTCCTTGCTGCTTCTTTCAGGGGCGCCATGTTAGTATGGGAGCGCGAACGGGGTTGAGAGGGCTTGGGAAAAGAGGCAGGGGGAAGGGGGGGGGGAGGTTGCAAAACGGGGGTGATGGGTAGTCGAGGGAGAGAATTACCCCTCGTGAGTTATCGGTCTCTTCGGCCGGCTCCCTCCTTCTGGAAAGGCTAATTATTCCTTTCCGAAAGGCCCCTGAGAGAGATGGCCGCTGCTCCTTTCTCACTTTGTGCCTCGACGCTTCCACGTCTCACCGTCGCTTATTTCCCAGATGGACGCTGCTCCTTTCTCCCGTCGTTCCTCGGCTCTTCCACCGCCGGCCGTTGCTTGTTTCCCACCTGTTTGGATCGTTTTTTTTTTTTTGGGGGAGGGTCTTGTTGCTCGCTTCCTCCTTTCTCACGTCGTGCCTCGACTCTTCCACGTCTCGCCGTTGCCTGTGCCCCAACTGGCCGCTGCTCCTTTTTCTCGTCGTGCGTCGACTCTTCCACGTCTCGCCGTTGCTTGTTTCCCTCCTGTTTGAATCGCTTTTTTGAAGGGTCTTGTTACTCGCTTTCTCCTTACTCCCCCTGCGCTGTATCTTCTCTTTTGTCCATCGGAATATCCACGGTGAGCCCCCCTGTTTGGATCGTCTGTATTTCTCCACAAAGTGTCTTAGTGTTCGTTCTCTCCTTGCCTCCCCGTCACTGCGTCTTCTCCTCTGCCCTTCGAAAGGACCACGGCCGGCCCCCTCTCTGCACCGCCCCCACTCTCGTTCTGAATTTCACTACCCTCCTCGCTTCCTTCGACTCCCTCCTGTGTGGATCGTCTATATTTCTCCACAAAGGGTCTTAGTGTTCGTTCTCTCCTTGCCTCCCCGTCGTTGCATCTTCTCCTCTGCCCTTCGAAGTAATCGCGACCAGCTCCCTCTCTGCCCCGCCCCCACTCTCATTCCGAATTTCACTACCCTCTTCACTTCCTTCACGGCGCCGGTTGTTGCGTTTACTCTGTGTGTCATTCCAAACCTTCTCCAACGTCATCGTTTCCTTATCTCTCCATCACCGTGGACCTTTTATCATTCCCCGTTGTGTCTCTCGAGGTCGTCGTCAGTTTCTCGGGATTTTCACCCCCTTGGTCTTCTCTTGTGTTGCTTTCCGTTGTCGTTGTCGTTGTCGTTTTCGTGTTAGCAGTCCTGTTCCATGTGTCCACGCCGCAAAAGCCAGAAGGACGCCTACCGACCGGAAACTCCGGGTGTTTCCCCCGTCGTTTGCACGTGTGTATCGTCCCAATCGGGCGTCTCCACGCTCGACCAGTCCTCACTCTTCCATAGTCGTTCCCACTTGCGTGTGCCGTTCTCCTCCCGTTGGCTATGGCGTCATGTCAGCACTCCTGTCCCACCGCAAACCGGTTGCGGTGTCGGTACTGCGGCAGTGTCCCTTCTCAGTAGACATGTCTTTTCACTACACTATCCTCTGCAACTCACAACAAACTGACATCTATCTCTTGGCAAACTCAGCATGTGGCAAAGAAAGTATAGCATTCAGAATTTCAGATAGCACGGTAACCACTCTACAACAGCTGGAAGTCAGAAGACATTTCTGATTCCTGAAAGTTCAAGAACAAGAAGAAGAAAGGAAGGAAAAAATGTAGTTGTCTTCTCCAGGTTCTCCTCATATTGGGGGGCGTTTTTTTTTTGTTTTTTTTTTTTTAAACAACGGCCCCCAGCAGTGCTAGTTGTACTGGTCGAAACAGACACCACTAGCACCCGGGAAGAGGCTCCATCTATTGGTGGGGAGCGTCACCTGCTTAAAACCGGGTCCAGCGTCCCATATACAAAAAGATTCAGGATGACCTCAAAGAAAGTAATTGAGAAAACGCTTGCCAGCACTAATTGCTCTGGTGTCAAGAGGATTAACTGAGCAGGTTCTTGAGAAATAGGAGGAAACCTCTTTGCCCTGTATTGGGTGGCAGATACTTATTGCTAAGTAGTAAGAACTAATTCCCCCCTCCCTCAGCTGCCCTCCCCACCCTGTCCCACATCGGGTCGAGCGTCACCTGCTGGAAATCGGGTCCAGCGTCCCATATACAAAAAGATTCAGGATGACCTCAGAGAAAGTAATTGAGAAAACGCCTACCAGCATTGATTGCTCTGATGTCCAGAGGATTAACTGTGCAGGTTCTTGAGAAATGGGAGGAGACCTCTGACCTCAGAGAAAGTAATTGAGAAAACGCCTACCAACATTGATTGCTCTGGTGTCCAGAGGATTAACTGTGCAGGTTTTTGAGAAATAGGAGGAAACCTCTTTGCCCTATATCGGGTGGCAGATACCTATTGCTAAGAACTAATTTCCCCCTCCCTCAGTTGCCCCTCCCCACGCTGTCCCAAACCCGACAAGCATCCCAGACCAGCAACAAACCGCAATCTATATCTTTGCAGCGTGGACACCACATATGAAGGATTATGGGTTACCCACCTCAAGGTTATGCTTATCCCCTCAGGGTTGAACCTAGACCCTGGCTTAGTTTGTTCGGTCCACTAGGGGGGGGCGAACGGACTATCTCAAGTGGTGAGCCCGAAGTGTACCTAAGGGAATTTGAACTTTCGAAGAAGAGAAAAAGATTTTGAAGAGAAAGAAGAGAAAAATAAGTAGAAGAGGAAGAAGAGAGGAAGAAGAAGAAGAAGAAGAAGAAGTAGGAGGAGGAGGAGGAGGACAAGGAGGAGGAGGAAGAAGAGGAGGAGGAGGAGGAGGAAGAAGAAAGTATATGCCTGTTTGTTGCATCCGCCCTGCATAGCAGCACGGTGCTACAAGCTGTCAGTGCCTACATCAGTGATGCCCAATCAGTGCAATCACCACCCTAAGACGATCAGCATCTGATATGATAAGTTTGACAAACTAATAGCAAAGCTTGCCTGAGCAGCAACAACAACAAAAAAACTTAAACAAATAGAGAAACCTGGAAGTACTGAAAGTCTGAAAATTTGACATACTACCTAACTGCAAGTGCTTTGAGATTCCTGAAAGACAAAGAACAAACAAGAAGAAAAGAAGGAGGAGGAGGAGGACGACGACGACGAAGAAGAAGAGAAAAAAGAAGTATGTATGTCTAACAATGTTTGTTGCATCCGCCTAACACGGCAGTGCAGCGCTACAAGGTGGTAGTAGCTACATTGCAACCCCGAATGGCAGTAGATAAGGTGATAGTCTTACGGTGGTGATTGGGTATCATGATGCCCAATCACCACCCTAAGACTATCACCTAATCTACTGCCATTCAGGGTCGGAGTCATTGCCCTCATCGGTGCCCTTGTCCCTGCTTTCCTCATCTATGCTACTCTGCTCGCCACCCGTCAGATCATCCTCGATGACTTGCATGCGTTTTCCACTCGGGCCCGAGTTTCCCTTGTTTTGTGGATGGCTCCTGCCCCCAATGCGTATGGAAGGGCGGGATGTTGCTGGTGGTGGTGGCGGATCAGGTCTTCCTTGTCCCTTTCTCGGTCCGCCCCGCCCATGCTTCACAACTGGAGCGATTGGAGACTCGGGTCCATTTTTCTTTTTCATCCAACAGAAAAATTCCCATGAGAAATGAAAGTTAAAAAAACATTCTGTAAAAAAAAAAATCCTTCATATTTATAAATTATCATTCCCATGTTTGTCCAATTCGAAAATTTCCAATTTAATTTGATAAGTTTCCGTCTATATATGAATTTTCCCTTCCAACTACATCTATTTGTTTAAGATGGAATGAAAGTCTGGACGAGTTTATGAAATGTTTTAATCAGACTTTCATTCTACTACAACAAATATCGTCTAATTTAAATTGGATTAACTTATTTATGACTGGAAATCCTTACTTAGAATGGCGGTCCAATTAAAATATTTCATGAACTCATCCAGACTTTCATTCCATCTCTAGCACGCAGTTCAAATAAGAAGGGATACCCCATTCTTGGAAGGAAAGTTTTCAAGTATGACGGAAAATTTTAAAATTGGAATGACATTTTTTAAGATGGAATGAAAATTTAAAATTTAGAATGTAATTTTACTCTAGAATGATTATTTAATTCTGGGAAATTTTTCTGTTGTCCCCGCCCTGCTGATTTCCAAGTTGTCATGAACAAAAGACTCATCCATCTTTGCAAAGGGAGGAGGGCAATCTACATATGGTGGTTGTTGCGCGCCCTCTTCTTGCTGCTGGCCCTTCGGTTGGTCATGTCGTTGCCCCTGTTGCTGCTCTTGCTGCATGATACACTGGGCAGGCTGCTCCTCCGGTTGCATGGCATGCTGTTCCTTTTTTTTTTTTTTTTTTTTTTTTTTTTTTTTACCAAAAACAGTCCGAGTGCATGCTAGAGGTGTTGGTAAGAGCAAGCACCGCTAGCACGCTCAGGAAGGCTCCATCTATTGGTGGGGAGCAACACCTGTCGGAAATCGGGTCCAGCATCCCTGTAAACATCCAAATCATCACGAGCGTGCCATGTGTCACAACCTTCATCCTAACCAGTTGTAGTGGCAACACGAGAGCACAACCATTCAACGCAATGAGCAGCATTGATTGCCCTCTTTCCGAGGGGATTAACCGCCCATCGCAACCTAAAAACTTATGCCTATTCTGAAACCCTCGTCCATGTCATACGAAGACCATAAAACACTACGAGAGGAAGGGATATTCAGAATAGGAAAATCGAAATACAATCGTAGTGATCCCGCATCCGAACTCAGCAGTGAACCACCTGAGTTGCCACGTGGCACATTCATACCACACAACCACTCAATATTAGTGTCCACGTGGCAGCACCTCCAACTTCCGTGAATCGCAAATTATGTGTTGATACCAGACACCGGCAGCAAAATCCTGAGCGAAAACCGCCACCAGACAAACAAAGTCAAACAATTATTATGGTTGATGCCATCAGCTCTCCCAAATTATTCGACAATCAATCGCACCTCCAGCAGTTAAGCCGAGACCTCACACGGAGAGACAAAGCTTTATATCAGCTACCCAGCCTCCGCAATCCATCAATCCACCCAAGGAAAAAGACATGAAACCCATCCCGATCCCACCCCTTCACGCCTCCCTCCCACTTCCCACCTCCCCGCTTGGCCTTCCTGTTCGCAGAGCAACACGATTCCCCACCCCTCTCGCCCCCAACCCCAATCATACCCCACAACAGGCCCGAGGGGAGGCAGAAAGAAGGCCAAGCAACTCACACTCACTGGTCCCCGAATATCGGCGGCAATTTGGTTGTTACTATTGATTAGATCGACACACGCTGCATCACACTTGTTGTTGTTCTTGTCTTGGAGAACATCATCGTTCATGACCGCATCTCCAACGATGAAGCATCTGGCCCAGAAGCCATTCTCGAAATCTTCGTCATCGTTTTTGCCAAAACCACCAAACCCTTGTCCCTCCTCAAGGATCTCGGGGCCACCCAACTTCAGATCCGCGAAATCCATGTAAGGGGGCAACCCCTCTTCCAACCGCCGTGCAGCATGACCCTGCGCAAACATCTCACGTTGCCAGACACAGCCAGGATCATTCGATGATGCCATCTCCATAGATGTTGTAGTTAACAGCATAGCCATTGTGAAATCTAACTGTGTAGCCATTGCTGATATTGTTGTTACTTTTGATGATAATGTTGTTGTTGATGTTGTTAATGATGCAGTTACTTCGATAGATGCTATTGGCAATGAAGCCGTATCAACCACCAATGATGTACCTGCGGTCGATGGCAGTGCCACTAATATCGGTGATATAGATGATGTTATCAATGATGTTGATGCTGTTCGTGTCTCACTACCTGGCAAACCTCCCGCATGTCTCTTCGCTAGAAGGCCAGCAAACATGTCTTGGACCTGCTGCAGCATCTCCACGCAGTCCTAGAAAACGGGGATCGCCCGCGCTCTGTCAATCTCATCCCGTTGTCGCAAAGAGATCAGCTCATAAAGTTCATCATCCCAACCATAGTAGGTTACCTCTCCCTCCAACAGAACATCGTGTGGCAAATCACCATTCACTTGACACACCGCTACGAACATCTCCTCCAACTGCTGTTTATAGGTTATCACAGTAGAGAACGTGGACACTTCCTCCTTATCCTGCAAGTCGAGAGGGGATCCCCGCAGGCCCCCTTGAAGCGAAGTCTCCATACCTTCCCCAATCGTAGCTGATAGTAGCGAAGCCGCCGCTACTAATCGTCAACGTATCGGATTAATTCCACGGCTGGCGCTGCCCCTGTCCGCGCGTCGCGGGGCACCTGCGCCACCAACAGCGAGCGCCACGTGGCGAAACACCATGCACGTTTACTGGGCGCGCGTACAGGCCCAGCGCCCGGAACAACTCCCCCGGGCACTAGTCGTGCCGGCAGCCCGGGCCTTGCCGAACTGGCGGCGACGGGGCGCTAGCGCTAGCGGCGGCTTCAGCCCCACTCATGGCATGTTGTTCCTTTTGTTGTTGCTGTTCCAGTCGCACAGTGCATTGATTGTGGCCCTTCACATCGTGTTGTTGCTGCAACTGTTTTTGAAGGTCCTGCAGCTGAGGCGGGTCTTCTTTCTGTAGCTTCTCTGTTTGCTGCAGCAACACATGTACAGGTTGCGGTTGGTGGTGCTGTTGCACCTCATTTGTGTGGAGTCCACCTGTTGTGCATGCAGAGGGAGGTACAGATGTCGCTCCATGTGCGTTCACCCCTGTGGGAGGTCGCACAGCCATACGCTGTGCGGCATCCTCTTCTATGCGTTGCTGCACCCTCAACCGATCCTTGTTTGCTAGGGTCTTTGTTGCTGCCCTCTCCTCCTCCTCAACACAGTCTCTCTCCTTCTCGCACTGACGTTGGGACGGCAGAAGCGTCTACAGCAAGAGACAACGTTCCCAAGTCATCATCAGATTTATCACTGTCCTCAGGTGGGAGCAGTTTGAAAGTCCGAGTCTGCATATGAATCCTCCTCCTCCCCCCCCTCAGCCTCCTCATCCTCCTTCCCCATTGGGGCCTTGCCCTTTGCGTCTCGCAATGGTTGTGTCCTTTTGCTCCCTTTCTCACTCCAGATTATGTCATTGTCGCTGCTCAATGCAGCAGAATCATCTGAATCCATATCTTTCGGAATCCTCCCCCTTGGGGTCTTTGTCAAGTGAGCTTGCCGTTTCAACTCCTCCTCCGTCATCTCCAAAGGCCCCGGCAAAATCGCACCATCATTCGGGGATGGAGGCTCGGGATCGTCGAAGAATGTTGCCCACACATGAACCCACCCGTCCTTCATACTTCTTGGAATGCTCTGCAGCTACATGTTCCAATGCACATAAACAAGTTTCGCCAAACTCTCGCTCGAGAGATTGTTCCTCCTTTTGCTGTGGATCAAGTCAAGCAAGGACCAATTTCTCTCTGAGGTTGTGGTTGTGCTCCAAACGTTTGTGACCCTTGTTGCAATCTTCTGCAGGTCCTTGTGGTTACAACCGTAAGTTGCCCACCACTGTGACACTATTTTGCGGGTCAAGGAGGCAGATGCTTGCCCGAAGTGCTCCAGTGGATTTCCCTCCACCCTTTGTCGATCATTTCATCAAGGACCCACCGTCTATCATGCAACCTCTCCAACATCTGGTACGTCGATGCGAAACGGACCTCTGTTGGCATGATGAGTGTCTTTGTCTCCTCTAGCGAGCACCTCGCATAAAGGGCAATTGTACGATGGTGGTTCTTGATGAACCTCACCATCATTTTTGCCCTTTTCACATGCTTCGCCACCCACTGCAGATTTGCAATCCCTTTCATCAGCAGACTGAGAGTATGCGCAGCGCAAGGCAGCCATGGAATTTTGGCAATGTCTAGATCACTCCGCGTCACTAGAATCCGGGCAGCCCGCTTGTTAACTCCATCGTTGTCGGTGCAGATCGCGTTGACCCCGTGCACCCTAATTTCTCTGATGACCTCTTCCCACAATTTTGCAATTATTGTGGCGGTCGCTTTCCAGTGCTGCATGTCCACCACTCTGAGAAGAACAGCCCCACCTTCCCCTGCGCCAATGAAGTTGATCACGGGCCTCAACTTCCTGTCCGTTGTCCCATCGGTGATCAGCGTGCATCCACTGGCGTCCATTTATCAATGATTGGCTGCACTGTTTTCTACACTTGGTCGTAGACCAGGTCCAAAACCACTGTCCGGATGGTCTCTGAAGATGGTATGTCCAGAACTGCCTTTGTGGCTCCGAGCTCCATGTACAGGTTGTGCAATGCCCGTGTCTCATCGACTCGCAAGAAGTTGAAGGGGACTCCCGATCGGAACAATGCCCTCCCCCACTGCGCGTCCAATCTCTTTTGTGCAGTGTTTTCCGCCCACCGCCGGATCGAGACTTGCCTTGAAAGCTTTGCTGGAGTGGATGAGCCTTCGCCGAACTTTCCCACCAGTGCAGATGCTCGTCCGTTGTCTATTGCGTCCAACACGGTTCCTTGACTTGCCTCTTGCACTGCACTCGGCTCTCTCCCTGGCGTTGGTGGCGAACGAAGATGCTCCTCCAACTCAGCAATCTCATCTTTGTCTCCTCCAGCAGGCTCCATTCCAGTGTCCTCCACGATTCCTTTCTGCATCTTGTACTGAAACAACATCTTCCTGGAGGCCTCCCCGATTATATTCGCCCCTTGCAAAGCGAGCTCATGCAATATCTCGCCAGTGCGGTACGGGCATGGCTTCCCCTTCTTCAAGAAGTGATCCATTGCCCGAGTCTTCGCTGCAGTAAACTGCTTGTTGCACAGTCTGCATCGAACCCAGTACTGGCCGTAGCCCTTCGGCTCGGCCGGCTGCCCCCTCTCTATCCATCGGTAAACGGTGGATTCATTCTGCAGTTCCCTTTGTTTCTCCTCCGTTTGTGGTTCAAAAGGGGGCTGAATGGGCGGTGCACCACTATTGGCCTTTGCCTGCTCAGCCCCCTTTCCCTTCTCAACCCGGTCACTTGCACGACTAGACGATGCCATGATGCAGGGAAGAAGAAGAAGAAGAAGAAGAAGAAGAAGAAGAAGAAGAAGAAGAAGAAGAAGAAGACGGCAAACAAGAGCAGGAACGGGAAGTGGAGCTGCAGCGAAAAAACAAGCAAACAGAACCCTAGTCAGCAACAATCGGTTGAGCAACTTAGCAGGACCAAAAAGGACAGGGAAAAAGAAACAAACAGACCGAGGCTCCGATGGCATGATCTGGACCACGAAACTCTTTTAAATCTGGAATAGGAAAAGGTTACAGATGTGGAACTTGTTGCCGATCCAGAAGTTGTTCACCATCTGCAACAGCAAACTGTTCTGGATTTGGAATACGAACCAGTTCCAGAATCGTTTGTGTATCTGCAGTTGCTCATTATCTAAAACAGGAAGTTCGAGAACTCGTTCCAGATCTGGAACTAGAAAAGATCCCGATCTGGAACAGGAACAAGTTCAAAAAACTGGTTCTGGAACTGGTTCGTGTTCCAGATCAGGATCTGTTTCCCATTACAGATCCGGAAACAAACTCTGCAACTTCCTGCTCAACATCTGCAGATACGAAATTGGTTCTGAGACTGCTTCATGTTCCAGATCTAGAACGGTTTGTTGTCACAGATCCTCAACTGGTTCTGGAACAAGGAGTTCCAAATCGAATACAAGAACGAGTTCCAGAAAACCGTTTGTGTATCTGAAGCTTCTCCAGATCTGAAACAGGAAGTTGCAGAGCTCGGATGAACAGGTTCTGGAAGTGGTTCCTTTTCCATATCTGGATCTGTTTGCCGTTACAGATCTGGAACAAGCTCTAGAACTTCTTGTTCCAAATGTGGAGCAGCTGCAGATCCAGACACAAACGTTTTGCCGTCACAAATCCTCAACCGGCGCTGGTACAGCAACACATTCCACATCAGGAACTGTTTTGTTGTTCCAGATCTGAAACTCGTTGTTGTTCCAGGATCAGTTGAGGATCTCTGACAACAAATAATTCCACATCTGGAACAGGAACGAGTTCCAGAACCGTTTCTGGATCTGCAGCTGCTCCACATTTGGAATAGGAAGTTCCAGAACTCGCCCTAGATCTAGAACAGTAACCAGTTCCAGAACCGTTTCTGGATTTGCGGCTTGTCCAGATCTGGGACAGGAAGTTCCACAGCTCGCTACGGATCTGTAACGGGAAACAGAACCAGATTTGGAATAGGAATGTTACATGCCCAGTTCGGTGACGTACATACAAACCGAGGATCCGCAATGTGATGAAAAGGACTGAATGGACAATGCAGTGCAAGTAGAATCTCAACAAGCAATGTGCATTCCGATACATACAAAATGGTGCTTTATAGCGTAGGGAAGACTTAGATACAAGACCTGACCTGACCGAGACTGACCCCTTTCACATAGTACAAGATAGCGAAGCAGAATGCTAGAGTACTAATGACTAGCCCAATCAATGTTTCAACGCAGACGAAACATACATCATACTCATCACAAGGTGTGAAGGAGTCTCGCGCTATACACAGGAAGGAAGCGCCAGGTCCAGACATACACAGACGAAGAGGAGGGGATCAGACGAAGAAGAGGGAAAGAAATGGGAATGTCGTCAACACCAAGTCTTTATCACAAGTCCCAAATAATCGCTCGTCGAATGTCTGAAGCCCAAAAGTCGAGTCTGGATCCAATGTCACCAAGCTCTCTCTCTCTCTTTCTCTCGTATGCAAGGAACCTGACTGTTCATAGCTTGCTGGAGTGTTCACGGTGCATGAGTAAATGTCATCACACAGATTAAGTAGTCTCACACAAAGCCAAGAGGAGATGGAATGAGAACCAGATAGCGCAGCTCATATTATCAAGGTCACATTATACAAAGAGTATCTTGAGTTCAAGAGTCCAGCGCCAAACAGATCACAAGTCTTCTTCAATCATTCGTCAACAAAGGCTCTGGCTCAGCCAGCGTCTCCCCTCAGATCACAAATATGACGCCAACAGGTAAATATCCACCATATCCAACTTCATAACCTGTCTTCTCTCTCCCTCTCTTCTCTCTCAAGATCTTTGTCCTAGTTCCCTCGTCTCAACATGCATGCACACTCCCTATCTACGAGAATCTATTTTGAATGCCACTCACTGATATCCTACTACTAACCCTTCTATTACTACTAACACAAGCTGGCGCAGCTATGGCCTTTTCTGCAACCAGCGCCCAACACCTCTTCTTTCTGGCGCAGCTGTCAAGCCAACACTCTGGAGGAGCGCTGCAGTAGTAGTAGTAGTGTCAGCCTTAGTCTTCAGCGCTGGGCGCTAGTAGCGTTAGCTGTAGTCTTCAACGTTGGGCGCCATAGCAGCTAGAGTAGTACTAGAGAGAGCGAGATAAGGCGGAGGCCAGGGATACTTACCTGCAGCGCCGTTGCTCCAGCTTCGTCTTCGAGGTACCTGCATCACAACGCCAACTTCACAGATTAGTACCTGGCTCGTGAGAGAGAGAGAGTTCTTCTTCTTCCTCTTCTCAGTCCACCATCTCCGTCTCACCCTCTCATTATCTGACTTCACTGCATCAGCAGACTACGTAAAATGCAGCATTATCCACCAAAGGCCCTTTTACGTAGTCTGCTGATGCAGTGAAGTTAGATAATGAGAGGGTGAGACGGAGATGGTGGACTGAGAAGAGGAAGAAGAAGAACTCTCTCTCTCTCACGAGGCACGTACTAATCTGTGAAGTTGGCGTTGTAATGCAGGTACCTCGAAGACGAAGCTGGAGCAATGGCGCTGCAGGTAAGTATCCCTGGCCTCCGCCTTATCTCTCTCTCTCTAGTACTACTCTAGCTGCTATGGCGCCCAACGTTGAAGACTACAGCTAACGCTACTAGCGCCCAGCGCTGAAGACTAAGGCTGACACTTCTACTACTACTGCAGCGCTCCTCCAGAGTGTTGTTGTCGAATCCTGAAGACTACTGATTGCCTCCTGCCTACCCGTGAAGTGCATGGGAAGTTCCTATGTACTATCTCGGCCTGCCTCCTGACTACCTCCGACTGCCTGCAGTTGCAGGGCGGGCAGTCCAGGAGGCTGCTCTTGCCAATGCCGAACTGAGCCAGGGGCTGGCGCTGCAGCTGTCGTAGGAACAGGCCAAAAATAGCCTGTTCCTAAAACCCTGGTTTGGTGCCTAAGTTTCAGGGCAGGCCGGTCTGATAACAGACCAGAAATGGCCCTACAAACCCTGTGTCGGGTGCCTGAATAGTGAAGGAAGGTCCGTCGGGTGCATCCCCAGCGGGTGCCACAATCAGCCAAGGCCCCATCCATTTCAGGAGGAGCTTGCGGGACATA